GCTTTGTAAGGATGCGTTACCATAGTGCGAATAAATAATAGTACCCTATGTAAAGTGAAAAACGATAGATGCGGAAATATTTTATTTAATACCATTAATAAGAATGTGATCATAATTAATTCCCATATATTATAGTTCAATCATTGGATCGAATATTAACCACTTACAAACTCCTTCCCAGAAAAAAAAATCTGTCGAACACTATCAACCTTACAATGAGCTCTTTGTTTGTCCATGCTAAAAATTATGGCTGTGACATATTATTTTTTTTTGATTATCTGTGACATTAATTTGTTGAGGTGATTAAACGTGAACTCTGTTTTGACATTATGAAACTTGATTGGAAAAGTATTGGTATATGTCGCTAATTAGTGAACAACGTAGGTCAATACTTAGGTCTCATAAATTTGTCATGGAGCATCGACGTAGATCACTTTCATAACATCACTCTTTTATGTTATTTCTTACACAACAAAGCAGTAGCAGCCACAACATGTATAAGTTGATGAAAATGATGGAAATTAAAGTTCATGAGGATGATATGTTGATTGTGATGAATAAATTTATAGTTTCGGGTCGCCAGAAGTTGTTGGTTCATTTTTTTCGCATACCTTGTGATTCGATTTGCTTCAAGCTGGAGAGGAATTTAAAGTTGTAGAATGCTATAACATGTGACATCTTATGCTTCAAGCTGAAGAAAAAGATAAAGTTGTTGAATCCTATTACAAAACATGAACCTGAATTAATTGGACCGTTTGAAGGATCAGAGAATCGCGGTGTATGGAGCATTGCATTCAACTACATAGTTGAACTTCAAAGGTACTACATTATATGCTTACAGAATGCAAAGCAGATTACATGGTTCTTTGTCACACTTTCTTGCAACCAGGAGGATGTTTTGTTGACAATGAACAAAGCAATTGTCGTTGGTCTTTTGTGATACCGTATGTCCAAAAAATATCCTCCTACAAGGATTATTTCTTGGACATGTGGTGTACTGGCCAATAAATAAATTTATCCACAACAGCCAAGAGTCTCGAAATCAGCTTGGTTTCATTTGATACCCATATTGAAACTTTTGAAATCATTACATGTCCTCATGATCCATTCTGGAATGATTGTGATAAGTCGCCTATGTCAACTCTCAAAATTTTGAATATGCAGGATACACTATATCTCATGGAGGAGGAATTAGTCTTCATGTCTCGGAAGTTCCATTTATGGGCTTTTCACCACCGTGGAAATGGTGATGGATATTGGACAAAAATGTACGAGGTTGGTTTAGAGTTTCCAGTTACAATTTGTTATAGTCAATTCCGTCAAAATTTCGATCATCCGTGGCATCGAGATTGGAACCTTATTTTAAATCCAAAATCTTCTCTCGGAGGCGAATTCATTCTATCGGGGCCGATCGTTTGCATTACTATTTGTACAAAACAACAAAAAATGGCGGTTCTTTACGAATAGGCATTTCCCTGGATATGGTTGTTCTATGGTAGCATTATGCTTTTTCAGTAAGAGTTTGATCAGTATTTAGTTTCGATGGCAGCTTTGTAGTAAATCATGTGCCTTCGTACCATTTTATCAATATATGTATTGTTTATGCATGTTTCATTTCAAATGGCTAGACAATATGCAGTAATTAAGGGAATTCATTACATACAAACTGATGCATAAATAGTGGGTACCTTATTGGATTCAAGGAATATTAAATCATGTTTGACGTTGATTGTTGAAACGTCTTATCAATTGGTTTGTAAAAAAACGTCAAATTAATTATTATCATGGCCCTTCAACTATTATTTATTATTAACTTTTATAATTAATACATTTGACAATCCCTCCGATTTTCCGATTTCATATTATTTCAATATCGAAAGAATTCTGAACGTTTCTTTTGTTCCGGTGATTATTTACCTTAGTACATTGCTGATGCATTTCGTACTACATACATTTAATCAATATTCATGAACAGACCATTTGTATACCATTTTCTTTAAAGATTACTGCAGTCATTCATATAAAACTTTTCTGTTTCAATTAATATATGTGATGTGCGTTTAATACGAATTTGTTGCATGACCTTCGGAATATAATCAAGTCAATAATTTATAGCGATTAATTTCTGGAAATCAGACTCTATATTAATTCCCTTTTACATTGAATGTGCAGACCTTTAGAGAATTACATGATATATATATATATATATATATCACTATTTCCTTACATTCAGCCAGCATTTTATAGAAGTGCAGGCTATTATTCCTTTCCAATGGAGCGTGATAATTCTTCTGATGTTCGAGACCTAAAAGAAATTCTAGATCCGATCATTCGACGTATCAACCATCTTGAAGCAAATATTACTTCACGATTAACTACTGTTGAAGATCGTATGATCTATCTCGAATTAAGTTTGCGAAAGATGGCGAATGAACGTGATCAGATTCAAATACGACTTGATAACTTAGAGGCACAGATGGAGTATTTCGAAACTCATGGTGGTCCAGTTAATGGTAGCAATGACTAAAGTCAAATGAATCATTTGTAATGTATTTTTTGTTGTTCTTATTGTGTTTATTGTCATGGTTGTTATTGTATTTAGATTAATTAATCGAGGTATGAAGTATAAGTGGATTATGTTTCATCCAAATTGTTTCATTACATCAATTATATCACTTATCATCTCTTTTTAAATTTTAACCTAATATTTGCATACGACCCATCGGATTTGAATGTCTTATATTAACTTTTTCTAACAAAAAAAAAACACAAACAACTTTTAATTATGCATATTTTTCAGATCTATAGAACTTATTTGTATTTGCGATTTATTCATTTATACCTCTAATTCAAATTCAAATATAAACTATTATCAATGTAAACGGCGAACACCCAAAACAATCCCTGGACAGCCCGAGGTTCCACGGGTTCTATCTAGTACATTATAAAAATTGGTTAGACACTCTGTCGGGCCAGGCAATCAGATATCAATGGTAGAAACCATAGAAGTCGTGCAAAAATTCATAGTATTATTGACTGGTAATTTTTCATTTTTAGTTCATAATTTTAGCCGATTTTGAAAAATTCATAAACAACGATATAAAGTTTTGCTACAACTTCATAAGCATTTGCATTGTTCCCTTTTACACTATTCCCCCTGTTTCAAAATTATTGTTTAGTTTCACTTTTAGTATAATTTGAACTAAAAATAAAAATTCAAAGTGGACAATAATTATGGGCGAAGTGAGTATTTTAGTTAACTATATGGGTTGCTCATTGTTGGATGATATTTCGAAAAAAAAAAAGCTCAATATCTGCACACAACACACATCGCATGGTTGGTAACTTGAGAAGATCCATGATGAATAATTGGCACATGAGGATAGAGTGTAAATTATAAACCCACAATAATTTCAAAATGGTAACTCATCAAGAACTGCGACGCATTAAAATGTTAGTGTAAAAATTGTTGAATTTGAGAGTACACTCTCAACAATTTTGTAACCGGTAGATAGGGAACAATCAAATGAGACTTGTACAGTGCATTTTTGCTGATTATGTTAATACAAATATTTACCTTTTCATAAAAAGAAAAAAAAAAAACTAGCACGCGTCCGACGTGCATGTTGATCATGAGTGGAGCCAAGATTTATATTAGGGGGTGCGAAATAAATTCGTGAAGGCAAGTATCCTAATTTTTTTAAAAAATATGTGTATATAAATTATTTTTTTACAAATATACATGATTTTTTCTCAATCAACAAATTACAACATAATACTGGGGTTTGGTAGGATATGGGGGTTTATGTTCGATTAGAGGAATAGTTATAAACGAATTTTAATTTTTTCGTTTTTTACTTTCTTATATATTTTTTAATTTTCTTAAAGTAGAAAATGCAAACAAACTTTTATTTTCTCTATATAGGCGCCAACAAAAACTAAAAATTTGTATTTTTAAAAAATTACTGCTCCAAAACAATAAATTAAAAATAAGATATTCAGTAACTTAAAAAAGAATTTAGATGGAAAAAATTAATATTTACAAAATTATAAAATTAAGCACAAGACAATATTGCCGTTCTTACAAGTCAAAGGTTAAAACATTGAACGTTAAAGAACTAACTATAATTAGATGAAAAAATAAGAAAATACAAACTTACAACTTATTGTGGGATTTAAATTATTTTTTAACTTATTGAGGAACAAATATAGATCTTCAAATTATAAAAGTACTATTTTTTAGAGAAATTAGTGTAAACAAAATACAGTACTAAGCAAACGTAAGACCTTTTTTTTTTAAAAAAAAAAATAATAATAGAGAAGCTAATAGCTTAATTACAAAACATCCCTAAAGGACAGGGATGAAGGTGCTTTTCCGCATCTAATGCACCTCTAATCGTGCCCAGAGAAGTTGACAAAATGTGTCTCTTTAAGGGCAGGAGAAATCCGAATTTTGCCAACATATCCGCTACCTCATTTTGATCCCGCCAGCAAGCCCAATCTATACGTCCCAAAGAAGGGTGAGGACTTTTCTAATTATACTAAAAATATTACTTTCTCTGTCTTAAAATAATTGTCCACTTTGAGATTTTATTTCTAAGACAGTTTAACTAAAAATGAAAATTCAAATGGACAATAATTATGGGATAGATAGAATACTATTTACAATCCCAGGATCTTCTACGGACAAAAGATTGACAGGCTTTAAGCTGTCCATTTCCAGAATGAATTACATTTGGAAATCCTACGATTCGTCTTAATTTTCAGTTTTCACGTTGAAGATAAATCAGGCCCAGCCCATTTGAAGCGAAACTGAGTTATAAACCAGGAAAACTTTACAGAGTTTATAGAACCTCTAGAAACAAAACCAAAACCCCAAATCTTGCTGGTAGAAGAAATTTCGCGCCAAATAAATGAAATCAATGAAGAAAGTCGCGCCAAAAAGAGACAACATTGTGGGCTAAGCAGAAAATATCAAATAGTTCGAGAGGATTGAAGAAATGGCGAGGATGGCTGCGATGATGAGGAACCCTCGTTCGGAAGAAGAACAAGAACAGGTAATTGTCTCCAATTTCTCATCTTCATTTGATGATTGTGATTATCAAAACAAAAGGAAACGGAAAAGGAAGAGGAGTAAGAAGAAGAAGAAGAACCATGGTGGGGATGGTAATTTTGTGGTTCATTCGAATAATTGGGTAAGTAATTATGATAGTTTTGATACTATTTATGTAGAAAATCAGAAAGGTTATGGTTCTGTTTGCTCTCTTGATGATGATCGGTTAGGGAAAATGGGAAAAATGATGTTAAAGTTTCGATTTTGAGTTCTGGTAATCGGGCAACGGAAGAATTGCCAAAGGGTAGTGAGTTGAAGGTGGAGAAGAATGATGCTGTTATAAGTAATGATGGTGGTAGTGATGTGGGCACCAAAAAAGTGGCATTGGAGAATTTGTTTGCTGAATTCTGTTTCAAGGGTGATCAAATTGATGGGAATAGCAAAAGAACTCCCTTTATTGTAAGGAATAGAAGAAATAATTCTGGTGCTAATGGTAATGAAGCTGGGGTTTTGTCTAGTATTCTGGCAAAATCGAAGGAAGATACAGATAGGATTACACCAGCGAAGAGAAAATGGGGTGAAAATGAGAGAAATGAAGGAAGGAAAGAAGCTCGTTTTGTTTCAGGCTACTCCGGGAAACATGTAGACAAGGATTTAGAAGTGATCAGAGTGAAGCATTTGGATGATGTGGCAGAAGATTTGCATTCAGTATGTGGGATCTCGCAGATTCGGTGTGGTAAAGAGGCTAGGCATTCTTCTAATGTTTGTCAAGAATCAGAGGGAGTCAAGGAGATTGAGAGGGAAAATGCTCCCATATGGTCCAAGAAGAAAAGAAGTGGTAAAATGGGTAGAAAGAACAGAAAAAAGGAGGCTACTGTTTCGCCTTACTTTGTGAAGTCTGCTGAGGAAACGGTGGAGAAAATAAGAAGCATCTCAGAAATAAATCCCGGAAATCGCAGTCAGAGGCTAATGTTTCTGAGATGTCAGGTGCAGTAAATTCGGTGTATTTGCATGCTGGTTGTGAGGAGTTTGATGATAATAAAGGGATCGAAGAGCAGGTTTCCAAGGTTTCATCAAGGAAGGGAAGGCATGGAGGGAAGGGGCAGGAAAAGCATAAAGGAAAGCAAGTTCGAGTTATTTCTCCCTACTTTTTGAAGTCTGCGGTACAAGAAAAATTTCAGGAAGTTGGAAAGCATTTCAAGAATAGATCACGAAAATCACTACCAAAGAGTTTGATTTCGGAGTTGTCTGTTGAGGACTTGGAGGAAGCAAGGATTGAAGTTCAAGATGCTGCACCTTACACTGTAAGGTCTGTGTATGATGAAGAAGCAGCAAAGGAATTGTTGCAAAATGCATCAGAGAAATTGTTGCAAGATACCGGTGTTCCTTGTATGATAGGAGCTTGTGAGTCATTGCTTGTGCCTTGCACTCTTGTGGAGTCAAAAGAAACTAGGGAGGACATTACTGGGGGTGGATTGAGGAAGACAAGAAGTGGTGAAAACGACCAAAGAAAGGAAAGAAAAAAGTTCGAACAGTTTTGCCTTATTTTGTGAAATCACTGGATAATGAAGTAGTAGCAACGGAAAACCATTTGAAAATGAAATCTCAGAAATCAATGAAGAAAACTGCAACTTTGGTCAGTCCACACTTACGAAATAATAAGAGAAAAGTAGGTGTTGAAGTCACTAAGCTTGTAATAGATGCGACAGAAGTCATAGCCCTGCCAAAAAGGACTCTTTCTGCGTCCGAGAAGCGAGATGAGGCTTATGAGCGTAGGACTCCAGACAACTTATGGAAGCCACCACAGTCCCCGCATACTCTACTTCAGGAAGACCATGCTCATGATCCTTGGAGGGTATTGATAATCTGTATGCTTCTCAATCGCACAACTGGTTTGCAGGTTACTTGCTTTACCACTTGTTTTCTACACTTCATTCGAAGCAGTGATTTATTTCCTGATTGTATATTCCTGTGTATTTTCTTCTTACTCCACTCTGATATGTTGTTCTGGGTCAAGTCCTAGCAGTCTTCATTGTTACTCACATTTCTTGGCAGCAAAGAAGGCTTGGATAGTGGAGGATGTTGCTTAATTTGGATTTTGAAAACATGGAGTAAAGAGTAATGCATATGTTGTAGATAGCTGCTCTTTAAGTTATATTTAGTCTCAAGGAGATTCTGATGTTTAGGAAATGTCACTCGGAGATTATTTATCACTCATCTTTGGTTTCCTGATAATAAATGCTCTCCAACTTTTGTCCTGATCACAGATGATTTCTTTTTTCAAAAGTTAGTGTTTGAGAACGTACAAACTTAAAACAGAGACCTCTTAGTTTATTGGCACTTGATTGCAGGGGAACATCTGATTTGAATTTACAGGTCTTGCCAACCATTTTGTTGTCCGTGCAGGCCAGCAGAGTGATAAATCAGCTTTTTGCCCTCTGTCCAGATGCCCAGAGTGCAGCCGAGGTTGATACACAAGACATAGAAAAGGTGATACAACCTTTAGGCTTACAAAAGAAAAGAGCGGTAATGATTCAGCGTTTCTCTCAAGAATATCTAGGAGAGGGCTGGACTCACGTGACGCAACTGCATGGTATAGGAAAGTAAGTCTGTTAACTTTGTTTGCATTATGCATCTGTACTATGGACTTGTCTTTTTTCTACAATGAAAACTATTAGCACAATGGTATTTGCCATGTAACCCCTAAATGACTCCTGTTGAATATTTTCTGCGATTTGATGTTTGTCACATATATGAATTTCAGCCAAAAGGTGTAACACTTGGCAATTCATTTGTATGTGCTATGGAAAGACCAATAATTTGAGCTTGTAGTTTTAGTTCCAAAGTGGCAACTGGAAGAGTATACTGCTGAATTAATGCCACAAACCAACTGATGAACTAAGACACAGAGTGAAAGAAATACTCTCCAGCTTGGCCTTTTCTGGTCCCTCCAGAGCCGGGTGTGTGTAGGTTTCATTAATAGTTTCTTTCTTTAGGTATATTACCGAGTAATTTGATGTCACTGGGTTCATCTCTTACGCTTTTCTGTTCTCACACACACTAAAAAACAAGGAAACATTACAATGCCAACTATAGTCGTGCATTTCTACTCCATGCACATTCTGGCACAAACTCATCCAACTGCATTTTTAGCTGTGCTGAAGTCAATGTGAACAGTGTTTCCCACTACCAGATTTTGGGCTTTGGTTTAGTACCTGCATTACTTAAAAGTACTCCCTCCATCCCATAATTATTGTCAAGTTTGGAGTTTTAGTTCTAGTACAAATTGAACTAAAAAGAAAAATCCAAAGTGGACTATAATTTTGGGACAAAGGGAGTATACGGTTTCATTTTTTGAAATGGATGGGCTACTTGTTTAAAGATTATATTACTGGGTTTGATTGAGCAAAGAAAATTCTGCAAATGTAAAATCAGAAGTTCGTGAAAAAGTTAGCACTTGTGCCTTTTCATTCATGACTTATGCTTGTTTTGAAAATTGATTATGTAACTGATGAGAAATCAGTGGGTTACTATCTATCTTCTGTATCCTCCCATATCTAAAATTTAAGAAGGTAATGTGCATTTTTTGTTAACACAGTGAGGAAAATCAATAGAGACAGAGAATGTACAATCATCCCACTTAAACACATACCAGTATTACGTTGCAACCATAAAAATAAACTCATCTCCAAGTGGGTTTCCCACTGCAAGATAGTATTACTAGCTTTATCTGTACGAGTTGAAGCGAAATCTGATTGTAGAACTGTTTTTCTTGTTGAACAGATATGCAGCAGATGCATATACAATATTCTGTACAGGGAAGTGGGATCGCATGATACCATCAGACCATATGCTGAATAGATACTGGAATTTCCTTCGCGAGGATTATGGAACTGTTTCATCTAGTCGCCCTCCCGAATTCTAGCAGTATCATGATGTGTATATTATAAATGGTAGGAGTTTTCTGCATGTTCCTTTATTTGCTTTTGTTTAAGCAAACTGCAAAAGCTGATTCCAGTTTTTATTACAAGGAGGAATGTGACATATTGATGATGCTAATAAATATCTTTTTCCTAGTTGATGTTTTGTTTAAGAAGGATGTCTATATTATTTTATTTTTCCCTTCATGAGAGAAGTTTGATTAACAGGGGACATGCAAATACTGGCTGGGATAGGGATCATCCATTAAATTTCCTATGACCCAAAAAAGAAAAAAAGAAGAAGTCTGAATTTGAATAAAAGGACATTAGTTTGAATCAAAAGGCATTACTTTGAGTGTACATATCACTGGTTCGAAATAGATTAGTCTTAGAGATTGAAGTCTTCTGGGATGTATCGTTGTTTGAATCATTGTCACTTACTACGTCGTGTATGTATCGTTGTTTGATAGTGAATTATTCATAAATCTTATGGGATTGAAGTCTTCAAATCATCGAATTTTCATTACCAAATTAAAAATGTCATAAAAATTTGAGGATACGGTACCCTGAAGAAGACCGTCTTCATCCTTGATTCTCCTCTCGAATTTAAAGCCTCAGATCAATAGTCTTATTACCATTTTTTCAGATCAAGACTTACAGAACTCCTATAGGTTAAAAATAAAAATTTACAGTTTGAATCAACAGAAGACCTCTCTGAGTAAGAGGAGTAATAAGGGTGGCTGGAGTGATAAGGATGTCTTACTCAGTAAATTGATAATTATCATGTTTGATAACAAGTCTGTTAAAGATCAACTCAGTCTTGTAAAACTGTTATTCACTCAGCCTTGGATTAATCACGTCAAGAAAACATCAAGTCTAGGCTTCTACAACTGCGGTTGTTATCATCAAAAGATCACTTCGTTAGTGATTTTCATTCTGTATTTTTCTATCCTTATCAAGCGAGTTAGTTATTGACAGAGAAGCTGTAATAGTTTATAAATAGAATCCTTGATGTACTACTGTCAATTGAGTTGAATACAACACAAAGTATAATTCAGTTTTTTTATTAAAAATCATTCTGTGTGTTTTCTTCTTTTTTAATTATGGTTTCTGGGAAGCTTGGTTTTTAGCTTGGTATCCGTTTTCAGGTTTCATCTCCTGCGTCTGCCCTTGCTTTCTCTCCTATGGCTTCCGCACAAACATCCATGTCTCTCAATGTTGGTAACTTCGTTACCCTTAAACTTTCCCAGACAAACTACCCTTTGTGGAGGGAGCAAGTTCTTGATCTCGCCGAAAGTCAAGAAGTTATTGATTACCTCACACAATCACCATTAATCGACCCTCAAAACTCAGACTCTGGTATTGAAAAAGCCAGCTCTAAATCAATTCAAAAATTCCAAGCATGGCAAAAATTCGATCGTCTTCTTCGGGGTTGGATTATTGGCACCCTGTCTGAAGATTCTATTGGACTTGTCATCGGGCTTGACACCACTTATGGTGTTTGGAATGCCCTAAAAGATGAGTATGCCCATGATTCTCAAGAACGGGAGTTCACTCTTCGTCAGCAATTGACTTATCTCCGGAAAGATGACGGCAAATCTGTGGCTGATCATATTCGCACCTTCGAGGGCTTGTGTGACAGTTTGACAGCCATCGGCAAACCTATTCCGGAGGCAGAAAAAGTTTACTGTCTCCTCAACAGCCTTGGACCCTAATTTGAGACATTCACCACCACCATGTTGAAGCCACCTCGACCAACTTACAAAGAGTTGATTTCCCAGTTGCAAAACCTCGATCAGAGGCGGACTAGGTTTGCAAATCAGACTGATGGCTCTTTGTCTTCCAATGTCTCGCATTTGGCTTTTTATGGCCAGCATCAGAGGTCTACTTCTTCTCCATCTTCAAAAAATATTTCATTTACTTCCCATGGTCATGGTTTTCAGGCACAACAGGTTCGATCTTCTACTCCGAGTCCACCTCCGCAACCGTTTCAGAAACCAACTCCGTCTCACAAGCCTGCCCCACCTGGTGAGCACCGGATGACTCCAGCAGAACGTGACCTTTATCGTGATGAGGTGTGTCAGTACTGTGGACGGCCAGGCCACATCGCAAAGATTTGCTGGTGGCTTCCTAAAGGGCCAAATCCGATGGCTTCGTCTTATCATCTTCCACATGCTTTGGCGGCCCTTACGCTGGATAACTCGGTTACTGATAATGAATGGTCGTCTGATTCTACAGCCACTCATCATATGACTGGCAATTCAGGTATGCTTCATAATGTTCATAGTTATGTTGGCTCGGATTCGGTTATTCTTCGTGATAGGTCTTCAATCCCTATTACAGGTATTGGTGAATCTGTTATCAAACAAAATAATGATGTTTTATCTTTGCCCCAAGTTCTTTTGGTTCCAAAATTAAAGAAAAATTTATTATCTATCAGTCAACTAACATCTCAATCTCCGGTTAATTGTGAGTTCTCTAATGTTGATTTTTTTATTAAGGATCAGAAAACAGGTCGCTCGCTCATGAAGGGTCAAAAGAAGGGTGATCTTTACACCATTTCCAGTCAACCACAAGCTCATTTTTTGATTCGGTTTAAGTCTGGTAGCCTTGATCTTTGGCACCAACGTTTAGGCCATCCCCAAATTTCTACAGTTCAGCGTCTTCAGAATAAAGGCCTTATTAATGTGTCCGGTTCTAGTTGTCTAGGTCATTTTTGTGATAGTGGTCAATTAGGAAAGATGAGTAAATTTCCTTTTGAACTTTCTAATTGGAAATCGTCTGCTATTTTTGATAAAGTTCATTGTGATTTATGGGGACCAGCCCCGGTTTTGTCTCTTGGAAAGTTTCGTTATTATGCTTGTTTGGTCGATGACTATTCTAAATATGGTTTCTTCCTTTACGGAACAAGTCTGATTTCTTTTCTGCTTATATTGCTTTTTGAGAAGTATGTTGTTCGCCAATTTAATAAATGTATAAAAATTTTTCACTCCGATGGTGGAGGTGAATTTATAAATTCTCAAATCTCGTCCCATTTTCTTCATACTGGCACTCTTCATCAAATTTCGTGTCCTTATACCCTGGAACAAACAGGTGTTGTCGAACGTCGCCATCGCATAATTTGCAAACTTGGAATGACAATGATGTTTCACAGTCACACTCCCTTGTATCTTTGGGTTGAAGTATTTGCCACGGCAGTTTTCATAATTAATCGGCTTCCTTCATCCGCTCTTGATTTTTCAATTCCTTATTATATGCTGCATAACCAGCCTATTTTCTGTCTTCCTGGATAAAAACCACACATGTCTTTCAAAGTTTTCGACTCTCATCGAAATAAAGGTCATCTACTATGTCCATTGACTAAGTTTGTCCATTCAACTTGTATCCACAAAGTTCTTCCATTTACAACTGACTTGATGTCTTTTGTAGTTGCAAGTACCATTCAGGTTTTGAATCCAACTACATGTCTTATTATCACTCGGCCCGAACCCTTTGAAAATCCAATTTCTAGGCATCATTGCATCCAACTTTCGGTTTTATCAATGATCAGTCACATTATCGTATTTTGGTTTTATATATTCGTGATGGACAGGAAATGTTGTGTAAGTTATTTTCTTGGTCAGTTGGTCAAACAACCCAAAACGTTTCATGGAGTGATGTTCAAGCGGTTTGCCCAAGAATTTGTTCAGGCAATAGTGTGTTTGCTGGTAAGTATACATTTTGGAAAATTAGATAACCACGAATGTTTGATCCAGGCTCCCGGTTTCACGTTGAGCTGTTGATGTGTTTTGACAATAAGCATGATAAGTTCGTCATAATAAACTGTCCAGACGAGTCATTTTGGAACATGTATCCCTTTTACGGTTTGATGAGCCTGGTTTTGTTAAATTATAAAGGTAAGCTTTGTATATCTGATGAAGATACATGGTAAAAACCAGAATTTTTGTTCTCTGGTGTTTGGATATTGTCGACACAGGACCTATTCAGGATGCAAATTACGATTAGCATCAACTTTTCCGAGTGTGTGTCGAATTTCCAATTTCTATGCCATCTTCGCCGTTTCCAGATCTACATGAAACTGTTTGCATTGAACATGAGTTTTTAATTTCTCATTCATCTGACGATGGAGACTTATTGATGAATGCACCTAGCCGGAACCAGTACTATGTCTACAATCCAAGTCATGGCCGATGTGTGCTCATGGAGAAGCCAATATCAATTTTAGGATTTTATGAAATTGTTGTGGGATTTTACTTGTAATAGTCTTGCGCCTATATAATTTAGATTACTCTATGCAATATGAATGGTTTCGTTGCAGTAATTGGATTCAGTTTGATTATAAAGTAAAACTATAATTTCATAATTGATGTTTCCTTTAAGTTAATTAGTTAGTACATTCCGTTACACATAATTTAAGCTATAGTATCAATTTACACAATTTTAAATCTTTATATTATGTTGACCTCTGTCATAAATTGCCGTGTGACTTTTCAGAACATCATGTATTTGTAATTTTAACCAAAAAATTAATAAGTAATAATGTAATGAAGGGTTGAGCAGTATTATTGTTATTATTATTATTATTTTTTTCATTTCACCATCAACATTAGTTGTACCTGTAATACAATAATTCTCCCATTTTTCACAACACAAACAAAAATTATTATACAATTATTTCTTGGACTAGGGATATTATGCTATCCTGTATTTGACCATCTTAATTACAATTCTAAATTTTCTCATGTAACATTGTATTTCATTATATGCAATAATTGCGAAATAGCCATGATTCTATTTCTTCACCAAATAGTTCAACCAATTAATTGCTATTTAGTTATGTGCCACCAATTTTTGATAAATCGTATATTAAACATTTGCGTTCTTCCATGTATAGATGCGATATAGGTAGAAATTAACGACAGCAAAATATAAGTACAAGTAATACTGGTTTCACGACAAACAAATTATATTCCTTTCAAATAAGTTACAAATTCAAGATATATGC